CTTTTATTAATTTCTGAATATTCTTCTGAATCTGATGATTCGTTATCGCTATTAACTTCAAAATCAGAATCATTATTGTGATTCTGATCAGGTGAACTTTCAGGTGACAAGTCAGAGAGCTTCCGTTTAGTTTTACTTTTTCGATTACTTCGTCTATTACCTACATTATATTGACTGTCAGAATTTTTATTCTGACTGTGCGATTCTTTTTGAGTTTCAGCAAGTCCGATAATTTCTATATCACTGTCATATTTACTGTGAACTATTTCAGAAGAATTTGTATGTACCGCTTCAATATCACACTGAATATCTGAATCACAAGTATTTGATATTTCTATGATTTTTTCTTTATTCAAAGTATTACTTTTAGTTAATGCATTATCAATGTTACTATCTTCATCTAGTGATAAATCATCTATAATTTCTTCTATGTCATTAGCATAACGACTGATGTCTTCATCTGAACTAAATTCTATTTCCAGATTTTTATCACCATTATCAGTTTTATCATTAGCATCAACATTTTTTGATGGGCTCTTAGTTTGTTTGAGGTTATTATTTTTGAGTACACTGCTTTGGTTCAAATTAGTCTCTGCTTGCTGCGATGTAACTGTACTAACATTTCTTACACATTCTAAATCTGTTTCAACATCATCATGTCCACCATTATCTGAATAATTCTTTGTAACTTCTTGACCAGTATTCTTACTATCAATTTGAACACTGTTATTGAAAATTTGATTAAATTTGGAAACTAATTTTGTATTCTCATCATCAGTCTTTTTATCTATCACTGAATCCATTGTTGTTTGATTATCTTTAAGTGTACTTTTGTCCACTATAGTTGAACTTGTACATTCTAAAGTATGTTTGTTATTATCAGTGCATATATTTTCAGGTTTAGACAATTCTCTGATAACACTGTTCTCTTTTATTTCTTGTAAGTTGTATTCAACAGTGTCTTCATCACTAATCTCTATAGCTGTACATTCTAAAGCAGGTTGATTGTCATCAGTATTAGTATTCTTAGCTTCACATAATTGTTGAGAATCACTGTTCCCGCCTTTGTCTTGGAAATTAAAATTAACAGTATATTCGGTATGAGTACTAACTGTAGTTGAATGATTACGTTGTAAAATCGCTCCATTATTATCAGTCTGTTTATTCCTAAGTTCAAATAATTCTTTAGAATTATGTGAATGGTCCCCACATATTTCTTTTAAATTATATTCAACAGTGTCCTCATTAGAATCTGAAATACTAATGACATCTTCACTAATTACTTTATCAGCATTTTGCTCTAATTCATTAGATTGCGAAATATCAATATTCGAAATGTCATTTGATATTACAACTATTTCATTAGTATTTTCAGGAACTTGACAATCATTATTAATATCAGACAAAAACAACTCTTGTATGTCATCTTTAATACAGATACTACTATGCAGTCTATATTCCTCATTGGGTAAGTCTTTTTCATTTTCAATTTTTATGTCATCTGCTATAATTAATTCATATTTTGTTATTTTAGTCAGATCGTTACCAGCTTCTATTTTATCAATTTTCAGTAAGTTCTTTTTATGGTCTACATTACCAATACATCTGGTTACAAAATTAAAATACTTTCGAAGCATATCAACACAATCTGCACAAAGAACTGGCTGTTTGGTAAGTTCCATATTCTGTAACAAACAAAAATTATAAATTTGTAAACAAAATAACTACATTTTAAAAATGTAAATCATTCTTGTTCTAGCACTCGAACGAGTAAGACGTGTGCCAAGTACAATTAAAATCCAGTTTGCCTTATCGGTAGTAATTAGTGTTTAATTTAGATTTAATAGTGTATTTTGAAAAGTGATTTCTGGACAAGCTTTGTACGTATTGCTTTTGTTATATTATTAAATCATATAAATTATATTTAATTTATACAAAGTGCATACCAGAGACTGGTTTTACCAGTCTGCTGGTTCTTGCTGGCCATCCAATTCAATGGATTTTAATACAATTTTGGATAGCAAAATTAGTTAAAGAAGAGAAATAAAACGAGGTTACTGTCTGTATTTACATGGACAGTACAAATATAAACAATACTCCTACAGTTTCTACCTTAACAATGGCCCTTCAAACTGCTACAAACAACATTCCAGCAACTACATCTCTTTCATACGTAACCGCTGCAAAATCTACACCAAAACCATCTTTTCCAAAAAAAGAACAGGCGATAGTTCTTCACGCAGAAGAAAACCTTAAACTTCTAGACTACGTTAAAGCCATTGGTGACATCATCGGACCAAAAAATATTTCCTTTGCATCCAGAATATCTAACAATAGGATCTGCATATATCTAGTGAACTCAAATCTCGTTGATCAACTGCTGAAATCCCATCCAACCGTTCAAATCGGACGCCTTACTTTAAGTATTCGTAAACTTGTCTCCCCAACAAAAAGAATATTAATTTCGAACATCTCTCCTTACATTCCCCATGAACTGGCCGAAAATGCAGTGAAAAGTCTTGGTTTCCAAATAGCCTCCCCCGTGTCCTTTCTTAAAGCGGGCATTCCAGGTGATGAATACTCCCACATACTTAGTTTTCGCCGTCAAGTATATATTTTTCCTCCCTCTGATAATTTTGAGCTTCACACCTCCTTGTTAATTCCTTTTGAAGGCAATGATAATAGAATTTTTCTGTCTACGGACAAAATGGAATGTTTCTTATGCAAACAATCAGGACATGTTGCTACTAATTGTCCCAATACTTCATCTGACAACTTATCATCTGAAAATCCTACTGTTTCCCATGTCCTCCCAAATCCCCCCACCGAATCAACGTCACAGCAACAGAATACACAATTTCCATCTCATTCTGAATCATCTCCCTCCCAAACAAATCTATTTTATTTGTCTTCTTCCCCAGAGAATTGCGAAAATGATACAATATCTGAAAAGTCAGATAAACTATGTTTAAGTTCTCATCTTTCACAGAAAAGGCCACGCTCATCTGTATCATCTATAAGCGATAAGAACCTTCAATCTGGGGAAAACCCTGCAACAGAACAAACTATGTTTCCTCCCAAACAAACAGTTCCTAGTTCCTCTAGCACCTCCAACACAAAAAAGAAACGAAAACGTAGTTCTTCTCTCGACCCCAGTCTATCCACTGACTCCAAGCAAGCAATACACGAAGCCTATAAACAAAACCCAGAAGCTTTTGCAGTTCCTCCTGATAATATAATTGCCTTTATCGAGAACGCTTACGGCAGCTGTGACCCTGTCTCAGAAGCATTTAAATTCACAACAGATATTAAATCACTTATTCTAACTTTGCAATCAATAAACCCTAATTTTAAAGATAGATCAACAAAAATCAGAATTACACGCTTAATTAAAAAAATTTAAACTAAAATACATTCTGCAACAGATGATTCTGAAAGTATAAACAGTCTTGATAATTCCCAGGATGCTTGTGATAAAGAATACCTGTCTGATAGTTCACAAACCTCGCAAACACCCAAACACTCTACATATTAATTTCAACCTTCACACTGATACAATGGAATTGTGACGGATTTTATCCCCGTCGTCCACGCCTTGAACAGCTCATATCTGAGTCTTCTCCTGACTTTCTATGCCTACAAGAAACAAACTTCACTGATAAATATTCCGGACAACTTAAAAATTTTACAGGTTACCACTATATTCGAACTACCCAACTTCGTGCCAGTGGCGGAGCATCAATTTTTGTTTCCACTGATATTTTCCATAAAGAATTTCCGCTAAACACAAACCTCGAAGCTATAGCCGTTACAGCTTGGTGTCCCTACAAAATTACAATTTGTTGCATATACATCCCTCCAAACTACTGTTTAATAAGTTCCGATCTTGAAGATTTAACTTCTCAGCTTCCTACACCTTTTATCTTAGTAGGTGACTTTAATGCCCATAATACCATGTGGGGATCCGAAAACACATTTGGAAGAGGTAAAACAATCGAAAATTTTCTAAATAACGTAAATATAAACTTACTAAATTCAGGAAGTAGTACATACTTTCACATCCAATCGGGTAGTTTCTCTTCCATAGATTTATCTTTCTGTAATCCCGGAATATTTCCTTTACTTTCATGGTACACATTAAACAGTCTCTATGATAGTAATCATTTCCCTATCCTCATCTCTGACCAGTCAAAAATGCCCTCAAGAATTAAAACAAAATGGAAAATCACTCAAGCAAACTGGGATCTTTTCAGAACCACTGTTAAGGGAAAAACCGATGAATTACTTTTTAACAATGATATAGATACAGATGTTAAACTATTAAATAACTGTTTAACCGAATCTGCTGAGGAATGTATTGGTAAATGCGCGATTGATCCTTCCAAGAAACCTGTTCCGTGGTGGAATGAGTCGTGCAAAATAGCTGTCAAACAATGCAAAAAAGCATTAAATAAATTTCGGAAGACCCGTACCACCACGGATTTAATAAATTTTAAAAAACTTAGGGCCAATTCTAGGCGTATTTTAAAAGAAAGTAAGAAAGCCTCATGGAATCAATACGTTAGTTCAATCACAAAAGATACTTCTCCCGCGCAAATGTGGTCAAAGATAAGACGTATGAAAGGTCATAATACTTCCAGCAAAATAGCCGCCATCTCCCTGCAGGATCATACAGTTACCGATGATCAACATATTGCAGATATCTTTGCATCTCACTTTTCAGATAAGTCAAATATTCCGAATCTTCCCAATAACTCAGATACCAACATTTCCAGCCCCAAAATATTTTCTAACACCAGCTCTATGAATCTTCCTTTTAATCTCCTAGAATTAAACGAAGCCATATCTTCATTAAAAAACTCAGCAGCCGGTCCTGACGATATCCCATCAATATTTTTAAAAAATCTCCATCCAGACACACATCTCAAACTGCTAGAGTTGTATAATAAGATCTGGTCTCAAAACCAGTTCCCAACGTTATGGCGACAAGCAACTACAATTCCTATTAAAAAGAATGACTCATCTCCAAATCTTCTAAAATCATATAGACCAATTTCTCTCACTTGTTCACTATGTAAACTGTTAGAAAAGATGGTCAATAAACGCTTACTATGGTATCTAGAAAGAAATAATATTCTTGACCCATTCCAAACAGGTTTCAGATCAAATCGAAGTACAATGGATAACCTGGTCACATTACATACTGACATTGTTAATGCATTTTCGAATAGAAGCGAAGTCATAGCAGTAACTTTAGATATCCAAAGTGCCTTCGACACTGTACAAAGACCTCTAATTCTAAGAAAATTAACGGAATATAATTTAACTGGTAACATTTATTTATTTTTAAAAAATTTTTTAACAAGTCGATATTTTAGAGTATTAACAAATGGAAAAATATCAAAACCACACTCTTTGGACAACGGTTTGCCTCAGGGCTCAGTCTTAAGCACTACCTTATTTTTACTTAGCATGAATGACTTTTCCTCATATATAGAACCACCAGTCAGGTACTCGATATATGCTGATGATATTATATTATACTGCCGAGGCAGAGTCACAGCTACCACAAGCACTTTGCTACAAAACACAATAAACAAAATAGACACCTGGTCTACGCGTGCTGGATTTGTGTTTTCAGCTCCTAAATCCAAAGTAATTCACTTTACCAAAAAGCATAGACCTAATCCACCTTCTATAACTCTAAACGGACTTCGTTTACAAACAGTTAATTATTTGACACTTCTTGGTATCACCTTTGATAAAAAGCTTATCTGGAGACAGCATATTCAGAAACTTAAAGGAAACTGTACCCAAAGAATCAATTTACTTAAATCTCTTGCTAGCTTCTCTTGGAGAGCTGACGAAGAATCTCTTCTTAAAATATATAGAGCGTTAATTCGCTCCAAGCTAGATTATGGCAGTATTCTTTATATGACATCTAGTAGCTCCCTACTAAAGTCTCTAAACACGATTCAAAATACATCCCTACGACTATGCCTCGGTGTTTTCAAGTCAAGCCCCGCTGAAAGTCTGTGCGTTGAATCTTCGGAGCCACCACTCCATCTAAGAAGGCAGCAGCTTCTACTTTCATACTTTGTAAGAATATCAGCAAACCCAAGTAACCCGGTAATAAATCTAATCAATCCCATAGAACCTCCCCCAGTAAACGCTTCCAATCAGTCTCTCACATTACCACAAATATTATCTCCTTTATTAGATTCCATCAACCTCTCCAATACTACTTCTATTTATACCCCCAAGACAGCTCCATGGATGCACAATCTTCCAATATTCAATACAGATTTATGCAGATTCGACAAAACAGAAACCCCAAACTTAATCCTTAGAAAATCCTTCCAAAACATCCTTAACTTAACACAATTTGATGAAATTTTATACACCGATGCGTCCAAGAATGAAGACTGTTGTGGCTCCGCTGTGTCCACACTGACGACGACAATAAGCTCTGTGCGATTGCCTAAAAGTTGTAGTATCTATACCGCAGAATTATATGGAATACTCCAAGCATTAAAGACTTCAATCCGTCCTACTTCAAATGAAAGCATAAAAATCGCCATTTGCACTGATTCTCTTTCCTCGATTTATTTAATAAGATGCATTTTCTCGAAAAACCCACTAGTCCAGGAAATCCACACTATCTGTAACCAACTATATTCTGCTA